TGTAGCCAAAAAAGCGCAGAATTTATTGGTCACGCAGATCTTCCGATTTGACTACTTCTGACTTCTTTTTGAGGGGTTATTAGAAAATGAAGCCTTCGCCAGCGGCGCTCGGAGTATTGACGAGCTTAAAATAAACAGTCGTTCTTACATAAACCCCATATCGTTCGAGATATCTAAAAAGTAAAGGGCAAATAAAAATGCTGTGGCCATTAAAGTGGGCCAATTGGCTGATGTATTCAGTCTAAATAAATTTAAAAAAATAACTTAAAATATCGCAAAAACAAGCTGTTTTGTGAAAGCATAAGACATAAAATGTTATTGTATTTTTCAAATTTCCTTTGTTATTGTCTAATTTAAGGTTTTTATTCTTGGTGAGGAGGAGGTACCAACTTTTGTTACTCCCAAAACAGATTACCTATTAGTTGGGCCGTACGTGTCATTTGTGTAAGTTGTGTGAATTTTTACAAAACTCAGAAAAGAGTTCTTGCATATTAAGGTAGGTTTATTAAGGATTAATAATAAAATTTGGCTTAATTTTTGAGACATCACTTCATTCAAAAACACATTGATATGTAGGTATATGTATAAAAAAGTTCTAATTTTACATTTCAAAATTCTTAAAATATGTATATATTAGTTCGGCAGCCATCACAGTTTCTATAATGTCTACAACAAAATTAAAAGGTAACTAATAGTTTATCAACCTATTTCCCTAAGTCGCCACATATCCAAGCGAGACATTCAAAACGACGAACAAATTCGTGCAACGAGTGTGGCTCAGCGCAATTGTCGATTTAGTGATGAAAATAATTTGGAGGTCCACCGCTACTACAGTTATTCCGCTTGTACAGTGCAATGCCGTAAGGATCGCCAGATCGAATTCTGCAATTGCTCTAGTCATCTTTCACCGAACACACCAGATTGGCAGATGTGCAATATGGATGGGTTGGAGTGTTTGAATCGCAATTACGAAGATTTATCGGTAATCATTGCTAAGTGGTCACGCGGACGCAAAGGGCTGGTGTGCGATTGTCTGCCTTCCTGCACAGAAGTTGACATTTCTACGGTGCATGACAGCAAAGAAAAGTAAGCAAAGAATAAAAGTTACAACCCAGTCAGCATTTGACAGATAGCTGGTCACATTGGCGGATATTTAACGGTAGTGTGTAGATAAGTGTAATGCGTTTCTAACTCTTTCACGATGACATTCGCATAATGGTCGTGATCAAAACTCGACAGTAGGTATATATGGTAATATGTATTGCTATTGTGACTCGCTTTATATTCATAAAGAAGTTCGCGCCAGAGGATTCGATCTATTCAGTAAGCCGACTCAACTTTAAGTCCGTTATGTTTGCAAATGCCGACTGGGGAGGCTAACAGTGATTAATATAAAAATTAAACCAAAATAAATATTTGTATTTCAGCATTTTAGAGAATCAGAATCCATTGGCTAAAGTTGAGATTTCGCTTATTGAATTGCCCACAGAGCGCTATAAGCGAAATGTTGTGCGTGGAAAGTTGGATCTCGTGGGTATGCGAGTTATTTCAATTAATTTATATTTTAATATATATTTATTGTTGTGTTATTCATATACATGTCTACAGAATTCTGTTTGCAATCTTAATATATGTTTCGGATTAAAAGACCATTCGTCAATATTATTGCAATTCTTTCAGTGTCAATTGGCGGCACTACCGGCCTTTTCGTTGGCGCCAGTCTCTTGAGCTTCGTGGAGATTATTTATTACATTACAATACGCCCTTATGGCACCATGGTGTCGGAGAAGCGACAATTGCGTCAAAAAATGCTGATTTCATAAAATATGACCAATGAAATGATGACTAAGGCAAGCAGCGACTTTTCGTAGCACTTTTCTTTGTCTTCTAATTAACTGCTAATGAAATTAGTAAATAAAACCACTTTGGCGTCAAGAAATTTATGTGTGATTTTTCCAACTTTGAAAACAATACAAATATGGTGCATATGTATTTGGATTACAGCTTTTATTAAGATGGAAATATAGAAAGTTTTTGATTGAATGTTTGATCAATCTCGATACTTGTAACCTGGGGAATGTGAACAACCCTTATTGACAACAAAAGGGATGGTTGCCAACATCGTCTGCCTTGCAACAAACGTTTTGCTATATGATCATCTATGATTTTATCTCTCACAAGCGGTCTGTTTTCGAAGGCTCTCAAAATTTGGGTAGGGAATATCCGGCAATTTTATTTAGTAAATTTCCATTCTCTGTGTTTCTTACACACATATTTATAAACATTTTAATCACCATCGAGGCTTATAGTAATCTTTTTACTTTTGGATTTAAATTTTGTAGAAGAATTTGCCTTTTGCTTAAAATAGGATGTTCGGTGACATCAAAACCTATTTTTATACCCTAAACAGGGTATATTAAGTTTGTCACGATGTTTTTAACACCCAAACGGAAACGTCGGAGACATTACAAAGTATGACCAGCTGAGTCGATTTAGCCATGTCCGTCTTTTGGTCTGTATACGCGAACTAGTCCCTCAGTTTTTGCGATATTGATCTAAAATTTTGCGCACGTTTTATTCTTCTCACCCATTTATCTAAATCACATATATCGAATCACTATATCGTATAGTTGTCATACAAACTGATCGATCAAATTTAAGTTTATCTTTACGAGATTATACATTTATTATTTTCTACGGCAACGGTGCAACCTGAGAAGATATTGTTCAGATCGCACACTATAGCTGCCTTACAAACTGACGCTTAAAAATTAAGTTCTTGTAAGGAAGGAACATGCCTTCTAGTTTTAACATATGGTACGAGTATACTCGTGCATTTTGAAGGTTAGGTGTCATTAAAAATTGTAGAAAACTAAAAAAAAGGCTGTTTTGGAAAGTGTTTTTTCGAGAAACTTAGGATGATGATATGAATTTATTAAAAATGGCGCCAAAAAGGTTGGATGAATTGTGTAAAACATTATAAGGCTGCACAAAACTAAATAACAGAACATGCTCTGTACTTGTTTAAGGGGGTATTCTAGTCTAGAAGCATGCATTTCAGGTAATTTTCAAAGTGTCGTAAAAAAGGCACTTCATATTTTTACTATCCATTTTTTGATTAGTTGTTTATTAACATTTCAATAGTACAGAAAAACTTAAAAAAATAAAAAATAATAAAAAAACAAGTAAGGAAGGGCTAAGTTCGGATGTAACCGAACATTTTATACTCTCGCAAAGTCAAATGGTATACTCGTTTGAGATTTCTTTGTGGATTGACTGATATTTTCGGTAGAATGTCAACTATAGGCACTGGGGTCCACATATTTAGTACTTAGGGGCTTAAACAGTTTTGGTTCGATTTAGACAATTTTTGGCCACAAGGTGGCATACTTTAATCGCATTATTCACGCAAAGTTTTACCCCGATATAATCATTGTTGATTTGCATAGTGGAAAGTGAAAGAATCAGATGGCATTGAAAATGGTGTTACATGGGAAGTAAGCGTGGTTGTAGTCCGATTTCGCCCATTTTCGCACTATGACTTAGAAACATGAAAAGAACGTTATGCACCAAATTTGGTTGAGGAGATCTCAAGATATGGGTTTTCACCTAAAAGTGGGCTGTGCCACGCCCACTGACTAATTTTGAACGCGGTTCCTATAAAGTCATCTTATACCATCTCAGAGATAAAATTTAATGTCTCTGGCGTGTTTAGTGCTTGATTTATCGCACTTTTAGTAGTTTTTAACAGTACCGTTATATGGGGAGTGGGCGGAGTTGCCACCCGATTTCAACTATTTTCACACCGTCAATAGAAGTGCTAAAAGAATTTGCTTCTAGTGAATTTTGTTATTATAGCATTAGCGGTTTAGGAGATATGCATATTAAACCTATTAGAGGCGGGACCACACCCACTTTAAAAAAAAAGTTTTAACTGCAGATGCCCCTCCCTAATGTGATCCTGTGTACCTAATAACAGTCTTGTATCTTATTGCGGAGCTTAGTTATGGCAAGTTATTTGTTTTTGATTAATGGCGTTTTGTGGGCGTGGCAGTGGTCCGATTACGCCCATCTGCAATACCAACCGTCTCACGGTACCAAGAAATATGTCTACCAAGTTTCATAAAGATATCTCAATTTTTACTCAAGTTAGAGCTTGCACAGACGGACGGACGGACAGACATCCTGATCATTTATATATATATAACCCTATATCTAACTCGATTAGTTTTAGGTGATACAAACAACCGTTAGGTGAACAAAACTATTATACTCTGTAGCAACAGGTTGCGAGAGTATAAAAATTCGAAAACCAGCTGCTGATGAAGTGGGAGATCTTTTTTTTACCTTTTTTGATTGTTTCGAATTTTTATTAGTAGTAAAAATTGCAATTTGGGAACATGGCTAGCTCCTGTAGATAATTCTATGAAGAGGACTCTCTTAAAATTTAAGGTAAATCGGTAGAACCGGTATAACTTGAGAAATCGTTGGTATCGTATTAAAAAAGAAATTTTCAAGAAATACGCGCTTAAAGTTTTAAGTTAAAACCAAACCGGCGAACTTGTAACTATTTAAACTGTCCAAATGCGTAAGATAATTTTTTAGATTTATTAAAGTTTCTAGTGTAGACTACCCCCTTAATCTAGAATATAGAATTTCAAAGGGCTTTAACTTATTGTCGGAGAGACTGCATTTATAATTTACATATATATTTCCACAAATAAACGAATTGTGTAACAGCAACAAATAAGACTGTACGTACATAGGTATGTTTCTTATCAAACGTGAGAAACGCAATTAGATATTTTGTTCCGAAAACAACAACAGAAAATTACTTTGTAAATAAATATTTTTAACGATATCGGCAACAAAATAAAAACAGATGTATGTAACAAACAAACGCCACATAAACATATGTATATATGTATGTGCTTGCATAAGTTTGTAAACATCTAAATCTGTATATATAATACTTATTGCACTTATTGCTCGATAAATATCGGCGGCAGACAGTTGATTCGAGAAGCTCTACGAATTTGGACGGTCGCCAAAACATAGACACATTGTAACGCTGAATTGGTGGAAATTAAGGCAAAATTGAATTTTTCTGTATAAATACAAGAAATCAACAATTTTAGAATTACAAAAGAAAAGCGAAAATGTCACTAAATATTGCCGAGTTAGATAAAAGTTCTCCAGCGGCAACCAAAAAGCTGCTAAAGAACGCAGAATGCCAACAAATTCTGGCCAAAGCCTGTGTAACGGCGTCTAAGTTGCAGCTAAAAGACTTTCTACTGACGCCGGCCGAGAATGCAAGTGGCTATCTTGGCGAATATTATCATCTGTTGGTGCAGTACAGCGTCGTTGAGCCAGATGAAAAGAAAAATGTAAGTTTTGGCGTTAACAGCCCAATTTGTGGCACACTTTTGGGCTGAAAGTGTGTGAAATTAGTTCTATACATGTTGCTTGTAAAATCGCAGCTAGCTGATGGGCGCGAAATGCGCGAACTGCGTGCTTTCGTCAAACGTGTGCCCCAGACTAGCGCAGAGCCTGAGAAGGAGGCGATATTTCGAAAAGAGGCAGCGTTGTATGTAACACTTTTGAAGCAATTACGGAAATACTGTAAGTACAATAACTTATTAAATTAACTTGATACTAAAACTGGTTCTATTGTTATTTCAAACACAAAGTCTTCTTTGTTCAACTGAAAAGTGATTAAATCATATTTTGAGACTTTTCAAAAAATTATTTGCTGCAAATTCTTCCAACGCGCAGTTCTAATACCCTTCACAAATACAAAACTTTCCTTAGAAGAGCTTGATTCCGATCGTTCAGTTTGCATGACAGTTATATGCTATAATGATTTGATCTAAACACTTTTTTTGGAGATTACACCGTTATCATAGAAAATAATCCATGCCAAATTTCTGCAGGATATCTCGTGCAATGTAAAAGTTTTCCATACAAGCATTTAATTCCGATCGTTCAGTTTGTGTGGCTGCTATATGCTATAGTGATTCGACCTCAACAATTTCTTCGCAGATTACACGATTGCTATACAAAATAATAAGAACTTGATTACGATCACTCAATTTGGAGGGCAGCTATATGATGGTCTGATATCTGCGGTTCCGACAAATGAGCAGCTTCTTGGGAAGAAAAGGACGTGTACAGTTCAGTTCGATATCTCAAAAAATGAGTGACTAGTTCGCGTATATACAGACAGACGGACATGGCTAAATCGACTCAGTCCGTCATGCCAATCATAAATATGTATATTTTATAGATTCTCGATGAGGCAGTATTCGGCTTCTTCAAAGTCCACTGTGTCGACTGTTCCTTGGTTTTTTTGTACCAATGGTTTTGTTGAAGGTGAAATCGGGCCGCCGCGTATAAGAAGTAGTTTTCAACCAAATAAGAACCGAAATTTTAAATTAGAAATCGCCTCAGAAGATTGATATTGTCTGCTGAAGTAAAATCGCTCTTATTACACTTATGTGCTTATGGGAGAGTTGTTATTAATGCGATAATTTTAATTTCTCTTTCTTTTCAGCCACTGTTTCATGGTCACCTCGCTGCTACTATGCACGCGACGATCTCATTGTTCTCGAAGATTTGGAACAATTGGGTTATGCCCTGTATCCCAAAGCCGAAGCTTGTATTCGTGACGACTATTTGCAAAACGTGCTACGAGCTTTAGCTGCTCAGCACGCATCCAGTTTAGCGCTCGAACACATAGAAGGCGTTTGTATTGGCGACATCTATCCACAATTAGAAGAAGAGATCACTGTGTCACATCGAGTGCCGTGGTACACCACGGGGTTACGTGTCATTCGCACTTTGGTTACATTACAGTTGGAAGCACTACCAACATTTGTACGGGAATCTATTGAAGCGCGCTTTTTGGTCGCCATTGAAAGCGTGTATGGTATGACCAATATTTCTGCTAAATACCGCAATGTGCTTTGCCATCGCGATATTTGGCGCGGTAATATCTTCTTTAACGACAACACTTTGGCCACTTCGTATGCGAACGAGTGTTCGGTAATATTCGTGGATTATCAAACTGCGCGCTACTGTCCGCCTGCTATCGATTTGATATACATATTGTTTATGAACCTAGATAAGGTTACAAGAAAAGCCAAAGAAATGGAATATTTGCGCTTTTATTACGATATTCTACAAAGAGATTGCGTCGCCAATGGGTTTGCGCAGACAGCTGTGCCGCTCTCTTTTTCAGATTTATTGGCATCTTATTGGGAATTTCAGTTTTTCGGTTTGCTTTACAGAGCGATTGCCAGTACGATTCTGAATGTTCCACGAGAGATTGTGACCAATTTTTACGTTCATGTGGAACGCACTGATGCAGTTTTAAAACTGATGAATGAATTTCCCGACTTTGGAAAGTATATGGCGGAACAGATTTGTGACATTTTGCAGTTTCTGAGCGAAGAAAGTTATGAGAGCACTAATCGCATTTGATCTATTAGCATTTAATAATAAGATATGTTCAGCACATATATGTAGCTATTTGAGTAACTACGATGCAGATCAATTACCTACCAAATACCAAGCAGTAGTCTTGTTATACCTTGAAGAGGGTTTACTATGTTTGCCTCAATGTTTGTTATACTCAAAAGGAAACGTCGGAAAACCTAAAAACTATATGTGTATATAAATTATCAGTGTGACGAGCTAAGTCGATTAAGCCATGTCCGTCTGTCTGTAGTTTCTGTCCCTCAGCTTTTGGGATATCGACCTGAAATGTGTACGCTTTCTCCGATATCGGACTACTATAGCATATAGCTGCCGTACAAACTACTTGTTCAAATCCAATCCTTTTATGGTAAACTTTATTTAGCAGATATTATTGTCCAGGGCCACGGTACGATCATTTGTGCTATAAAAAATGCATCTGTGAAGGGTATTATAGCTTTGGTTAGCCGAAATTACCGTCTTTTCTTGTTTTTGAAGTTCATTCTTGTCGGATTATATAATTAGGTCGACATCTGGTTCCAAGTATGTAATCAATATCTGAAACTGCATATAGACTTTGATTTTAAATACGGACGAGAGACTGAGAAATGTTATTGTGCTTACTCCAATTAATTTATTCTACAGGAATAGAATGTTTCAAAAACAAGTTTGAATTTTTAAGTAAAACAAATTTTATTTAGACTGAGAAGGCTATGAACAGATATTTTACAAAGTATATACATATATAATAATTTATCAATGAATATGTGTTTTAGCAGAGCGAAAAATGCTAACTCTTTGTAATTTTATCTAGGACCATAATGTCGGAATTTGTCTAGCTGATGTTAGCAAAATATAAATATTGATCAAGATAATGACATATGGCATCCATAAATGTGTTTGTTGTCAACTATTGATAAGAGCAAAGCAGCAACTTGTTTCATGCAATAAAAAGCCATAAGTAACTAATTTTAAGTTTTTTAATTTGTGTTGAGTTTTCTAAAGATGTCTTAATTGTCAAATGACTTATGGTGTGGAGCGGGCTAATTTCACTTCCACTAAATATACCATTTTTGAGTGTATGTATAGTTTTTTATACCCTGAGCAGAGTATATTAAGTATGTCACGAAGTTCGTAACAACCAGAAGGAAACATCGGAGACCCTATAAAGCATATGTATGACGAGCTGAGTGGATTTAGCCATGTCCGTCTGTAAATACGTGAACTAGTCCTTCACTTTTTAAGACATTGATCTAAAGTTGTGCACACGTCCTTTTCTCCCCAAGAAGCTACTCAAGGCAACGCTACAATCTTCGAAATTTTTTTTAGATCGGACCATTATAGTAAATAGCTGCATACAAACTAAACGATGAAAGTTAAGTTCTTGTATGAAAAACTTTTTTTATATGAGGAAATATCGTAACGAAATTTGGCATTGCTTTTTTCCAAGATAATGCTATAACATCTGAAATAATGTTTCAATCGCCGTGGTTCATTTAAGGAAAGAGGATACATCGTTATTAGAAAAAGATCATTTCTGAATTCCATTAAGATTTCTTATATATTGACCGAGAGTTGCGGTATGAAGTTAAGTATATGGGGGCTAAGTAAAGTTTTGACCTACCCATTTTTGGCACAAGTTACAGTGCCAGTCGACAATTTTTGGACGTTAGATGAAATACCCTGAGGGGCACTATTTATCAAAAGTTTTATTCTGATAACTTTATTAATGTTTGATTTAAATACTATAAAGTGAAGAATCGAAAGAGACGGAATTTAAAAGTTTGTTATATAGGAATAAGGCTTAGTTGTCATCCAATTTTTCCCATTTTTGCAGTTGATTTTTGGTTAAAATGCCTCGAGTGCTTCCCGAGATATATAATTTCACAAAACTATTATACTCTGTAGCAACATGTTGCAAGAGTATAAATATCAAGAACTTTTATGATTACTTTCCTGTTGGCCCCAATGTTTATAAAATGAATAAATGTAAACAACACTCTTTATCTTCAGTTATAACTGATTAGTATAAGTAACGAGTAAACTAATCATATTATTTAGTTGCCATTTGCTTGTGGAGGCGCGACGACGACGCGATCGTGGTTGTGAACTTTTTCTGATACCAGTACATAGTATACAAATTTATTTCACGATATACGTTGGTTTTGATTGTCATTCAGAAACTGCGAGCGCCGCAAATATTTTCGCGAATTAGCTTTTGGCAAAAGTGATAAAAATGAGTCCGACAACAACGCTTGTACGTGTTGATAAGCAAAATGATCTCTTTTCACGCTCCGAAGTCGAGCAAATATTGAGAAATATATTGAATTCAAATACGGCTGCTACGTTGTTGGAATATAATGTGTCGCCAGAGTGTTCACCAACTGGTTACTTAGGCGAATATTTTAGTTTGGAATTAAAATACAAATTTCTAGAGGTAATGTGGATTTGAGTGGCACTGACCTACGGCTAACTGCCGCATATAAAGGGTGTTTCGTTTTGAACAATTAATATTTTCAACGGAATATACAAACCTAACTTTTGTTAAGATTGCTAAGCTTCTTTTAACACAAACGAAAACGTCGGGACCCAATAAAGTATTGTATAGTTTATAAATGATCATCAATGATCTGTCCGTCGGTATATACGCAAGCTAGTCCCTCAGTTTTTGAGATATCGATCTGAAGTTTTGCAAATGTTCTTTTCTCTCCACCACTTTAGCATATACATAGCTATAATACAATACTAAGTTTTTGTATAAAAAAAAGTATATATTTGACAAGATGTCTTCACGAAATTTTATATAATATGTATCTTTGTCAAAGGCACCGCTACAATTTCCGAACCAATTGTTCAGATTGGATTACTATATAGCTGCCATACAAACTGAAAGATCAAAATTTTACTTTTTGTTTGGAAACTGGGTACAGCCGAAGTTGACGTTTTTTTTTCGTTTCGAAGTTCGTTTTGTCAAAAAATTTATTGAGTTGTGGCGTCATTAATTAAAGAGTAAATTATTTATAATATTATATATTGTATAGATATATTTTTATTTCACACATTTTGTAAGATGTGAAAACAAATAAATGTGTACAAATCAGGATAAACCAATTCTGGTATCATTTCTAGTCCAACGACACAATTCAAACAACGCGAGTATTCGTTAAATCCTTGCCTTATCAAAATCCCAAGATGACGGCGTTTATTGAAGCTTGTGGCATGCTTACCAAAGAAGCCTCGATATACGAGCAACTCTTAAATGAGTTGAGGAAATTGAGTGAGTATAACAAGTATTTGGATTTGTTGGAGAAAATAACAAAATAAGCAAATATCGACCCACTTAAAGTTGTCGTGGTAATTTTTGCAACCACTTAACAGGCAGATAAATTTTAGCTACTATTTTTTGAGCATTGGTATTTACTATTTGTTCGCTTCTTTTTGTTTCCATTTATGCGTTATCTATTGTGTTATCATTCTCAATAATAATACTATGTCCATCAATAGAGATTTTTAATAATGTCTGTTATCTTCTACAGCGTCGACCGTCTGGTGTGCTCAGTGCTACTTTACACGCAGAGATCTGTTTGTCATGCAAAATATTGTTGATATGGGTTATGAGGCGCTAGTGGACCCCGGGGAATTTCTAACACAAGCACAGATAGACGTACTACTGAAAAGCTTAGCAACAATGCATGCTTGTATTATCACATATGAAGAGCAAAATAAAGTCAATATCGGAGAGCAGCTAAAAGATGTTTTAAGAGAGATGACAGTTTCACCAGAGGTGGTTTTCTATACTGCGGGAGTGAGGGTAAGTATTAAGTAGATAACTTAGTCGCTCTAAACACCTATATAACTAATCGATTTTTTTTTAATTTTGAAGGAGTAATATAACATACATATATTTATATGTATTAGGTTGGGCAAAAATAAACGTTTAATTTTTTTTATTTAAAGAAAGATTTCTGGAAAAGTTGGCACTCTTAAATTCTTACTTCAGAATTTTTTGCTTGCAGGCTATCTTAGCTGTTGCCCGCGTCCACCCTGCCTATCAATGCGAGACGTTGCAAAAGTTTATTGCCGAAGAGCTGCCGCAACGCATGGACAACGTATACGAAATGGTAAATCCGTCAAAAAAATATCGGAATGTTTTCTGCCATCGCGATCTCTGGGGTGGCAACTTATTCTTTAACAAATTTAAACCCGATACAGAACCTGTCGTTCTCGTAGACTACCAACTGGCACGCTATAGTCCACCGGCGATCGATGTCCTCATGGCCGTGTATTTGAATATAACACCACAACAACGAAAAACAATGAAACACTGGTGCTTTGATAGATACTATAACTACTTTGCTGAGGAACTAAAGAAACAGGGCCTATCAGCAGAGCAGCTAATTAGTCGGAGCGAATTTGAGCAATCCCTGCAAGAGTTGGAACTCTTTGGCGCACTATACAACTGTATATCAGCGACGATACTGCGAGTACCGGGCGATTACTTAAAGGATTTGAAGTTGAATCATCCGGACGCATTTCACCGCTATACAAATGTAGATCGAGTGGAAGAGGTGCTCGAGCTGTTAAAAATTGATAAGACATTCCGAGATTATATTTTTGAGTGTGTTGACGAAATGATAAGTTTGTTGTTGTAGAAAGTAATGTTAATAACAATATATATTAATATAATATTAATAAAGTAATAGAAATTATACAATTAATGCCACAAGTCTGGATTTCTTATTAAATATTCTATAAGTTCTTCAATGGGCCACATAATCTTTGACTCGTAGGAGGGATCCATTTCCATTATACGTTGAAAAAATTCATCACGCTGAGTATTCATATAGTAGTCGAACTTTTCTTGCTCCTCTGCACGCCACTTATTAGACAAACCGTCTGGCATCATTGTTAACGGCTTAGTAATAGCCATAATAACGAGTGCTGGCAGATGAGCACGACGTATATCTTCCAGAAGCTCCTCCTTAGTAATAATATCAGGTGGCAAATCCAACTCCTTAAAGCGCGCTTGCAACTCGGAAACATAATGCTCGATATACTCCTTCATATGCAGCTTTCTTTCGCTTGCTGTGGTTTGGCCATATAAAAAGAATAGTACGTCTAAGCCAGGCTGAGCGTACCGGCTTAGTTGAAAGTCGACAATACAGCAAGCAGTTGGTTCATTATTTGTATCGAACTTAAAAAATATGTTTCGATCCCATGAGTCACGATGTAAGTAAACATTACGTGATCTAGTGGAGGGTTCCGTATACTTTTGCATATCCATAAGCAGCGTGAAAAGCTTGTCATTGATGAGTAATTGTTTCTCTGGTGTTTGAAATTTTCGGTAATTTTTCGCAAGGAAAATTATTCCCTGTAAAAACATAATTAAAAGATTATTTCAATAAAAGCGTTACGATATTTGGAAATGGGGTGTATCTCTAAGCAAAATACTCAACACTGTAGAAAAAATCCATTCAATAAAGGTATTTTAATCTAGTTAAACTTTGCGACAGTCAAGAAAAAGTTTTTTAACAAATTTGCTTCTTTGTTACATAACCATTGGGCAAGTTGAGGGCGCCTATTGTTATGCCATCAAAAAAGGCAATATATCTGGATGAAATTATCTTGACAGATTGTAGAGATAATTGATATGTAATCGGTGTTTTTTTTACATGAATGGTTTTCAATGAGACACAACTTTTTTCGTAGTTGGTCTCTTTGACAACAGTTATTTGATTTATACTCAGTTTGGTTTGCCATTGTATAATGAACAGACTTACTCCGGAACAACGTTTGCAAATCGTGCGAATCAGTGTGAATCAGAACCAATCGTGTAATCGTGTGTTTGTACCATAACAAACTGGAATTTTTTTGGCCATAACATAAATTGTATGCGATTTATTTCTTCTTGAAAATCACGTGTCTAAATAAAAACGCCCTTTATATATATATATCTTCAAATTATCCTAAATGTGGCTTTGCTGCAACTTGTTAAACTCTATTCAATTTAACTTTACCTTAGCGCCGGTGACGTACCACGCATTTTCTGCAATTAACATCAGTTCAAATAAAGAACCCTCGAATTGCTTGCCGATATTAACGCCTTCCTTCTCTTCCCATGCAATGCTACCTACATGTAGCTGAGCCAAGTGCGTGAGAAATAGCTTGATATGCCTGTGCGTATATGGCTCATCGCTGGTCAGATGCCGATAGCCTAGGTGTGCAGCGGAGAGATCTTCAAGCACCAATAAATCACTGCGCGCATAATAGCATTCAGCATACAGTTTTGTGGTGGCTGAGTGCAATCGGAAATAAGATTTCGAAATAGCAACAAATGCAAATTATACTCACCATACTTTTGTATATTCGGCAAGATCGCTGTGTAGGCACAGATCTCTTTGCGAAAAAAACACTTACGCTCACACTCAGCACGTTGCAATTCGTTAGAAACGGGCACCGATTTTACAAAACAACAAAGCTCTCGTTTACCCTCAGTTGAGTGCTGAGAATTTATAAATATAATTATATTTTATAAGAAATGCATTTTTTAAACAGCATTTTGCTCACCTCGTCTGCTATTTGCACGCGAAGCTTGAAATATTCACCCATAAAACCCACGAGATCGTTTGATCCCTTTTCAAGTGTATAGCTTGCAATTTTTATACTCTCATCTGGACTTAATTTCAATGCATTTCTAACAACTGTTTCACATTCTTTAGCGCTTATAGTGCAAACGACCTTCTCGCTCATTTCATCCGGCATCTGTTCCTAACACTCGCTGATTTCGAACTGCCGTTACTTGTTGTATCGCAAAGGATTTCTCTGCCATTACAATGTGTTACTCGCGATCGTTTTCGTTTGTTATATAAGAGTATGTATGTATATAGTAGTAGTAGTTAGGTGCACATATACTAGTAATGTTTTCAAGTGCGCTGCTATTGTTGCTAGTAACTATCTTAATGCTAAATAATGTAATACATTGTAGCGACATCTTATCTCATCCCGCGATTTCAATTTGAATCAATTATGAATTAGCTTCTGGCTTATCTTTGAGTTTGCTATTATTACGAGGGCTGCATATAGCTTGCTGGCTATCTGACATTTCCATTGGAAAGTTTGACATTTTTTAGCATAACATCACTCAGAATGTTTTGTCATTTAATCGTGAATTGTTTTATTTACAGGGAATTAAAAAACCAAGATCGTTTTTCAACAATTGTTGTTCAATTCATTTGGCATCCATCTTCGTACCTTTTGAATGTATTGTATGTGGCTGTTTTAAAATTACTGCTTGAGTGACTCCCAAAGATTCCTCGAGCTCTTCTTATGTTGAGCAATTCATCGAGTACTATTTCCAGTTCCCTATCATCAAATCCAAGACTTTCTTCGTCATCCAAGCCAAATCACCACTTTAAAATAGTGCAAAACGCTTTTGCCAATTCGCTCAGCTAGAGAATGTTCCCTATATACTGGCACAGAACAAGACTTTCGGCTAAGATTTTCTTCATATTAGAGTTATGAACAAGAACTCTCCGCACAAACCCTTTCTCAGGCACAAAGTTCAACATATTTGACTAAAAAAATTGTTCTTGTTAACGCTTCAAATGAATGACATATATACTGAAAAAGACACACAAGACAGAAGCTTTCCAATGCATGTTCGGAACATTGGAATAGTTACGTCATCTCTTGGCAAACCGCATTGGCTATACAGCCAATATTAAATGGGGACTGCGGTAGGTCGTGGACCGTTTTCACACATTTTTGACATTGAACACCACGGTCACTTAATTTTTGCTAAGATATCTTACAAATTGACCGATATATACATATATACTACAAAGCCAACTAGAAATTTGAAATTCTTATATTATGTATATGAGGGCTTGTTCCAATTTTATTAATTCAGCCGCCAAAGCACCTCCTAATTTTATGAAAACATTTTACGCTTTGGGTAATATTTTTTGTATGAAATCAGCTTTAGGCACAGAAATACTCATAGTCGTTATTTGGAGCTTGTAAAGATAACGATTGACTTTAGAAGAGAGGTGCCATACTTGGTTATGGTTCCTTTTAAACTGTAACAAATAGGTGTCAAAATAATGTCATTTAAATATGGAATTTGATATAAAAGCCCATTTGCTCAATTTTATATAATTATTGTATGAACAAGAATAAATGTTAACTTTGGTTGCATCGAAGCTAGAATACCTTTCGCAAATAAAAATGTTTTCCTTATAATAATTTGATTCCGATCCTTCAGTTTGTATGGCACCTATATGCTATAGTGTTCTAATATCGGAAAAAAATGTGTGCAAAATTTCAGATCAACATCTTAAAATCTGAGAGACTAAAGACAGACGGACAGACGGACATGATTAAATCAACTCAACTCGTTACGCTGATCATTTCGATATGGATTTTATAGGGACTCCGAAGTTATTTGCTGGGTCTTACAAACTTCGTGGCAAACTTAATATACCCTATTCAGGGTATAAATATATTCGATATATGATTTAGAACAAATTTTATTCAAATAACTTATACTTATGGTACGCGTGTTGGTTACTGACACAGTCCCTCAATAGTCCCAAAGTACTGGACTTTTTATGCAATTTTCTATGTACAAGTATAATATATATGAGTATCTACCTCAAATAACCTTTTCAATAAAAGAACACGTCAATTTTTCCATTTTAAAATATTTTTTTCATATCTTCGAAAACTTATTTACTTATAGTTATTATGTCATTATTAATAGCATTTCACGCGACAGTGAACTTGCTCGTATAGCAATTTTGTTCAACTCAGTTATTAAATTTATGATTTTAAAATATTTGATTATAATTTGAATACTTTCTAATTTAGCACACATGTCTTTTCATGACTATTTATAAAAATATTTATACAATACATATGACATATAATATTATTTAACTAGAAATTATACTTATTACTTTTAAATCGTATTATAATTCGATCGTTCAAGATACAAATCCTAGTGCTCTAAATTTTCTTTATATTTATCTGAAGTAAATACTAAAATTAAGCACAAAATACATACATAATAGTATAAATACTCATACACCAGCTTTTTGTTTTTTTGTTGTCTAAAACTATAGGATTTTCATCTGATTTTGAATGAGGATTTGTCTTATAAAATATGCTTTCTCTACTCAGTTGCAGTTTCAGGCAAGCAGGCGGCATTACGGAGACGGCAATGAGTAGGCTACGGCTGCGGCACAAAATTTCTCTCCAAATATCTCAGGTGACACAAAAAGGTACTCAGTTGTTTGAACATTTCATTTTAGTTGTATTTTTACAATATTTCTACTCGCTCCAACAAAGTTCGTCATCTTCGTTTCGGTTCTCTTTGAAGTCGCACACATTAAGGTCTTCACTCTCTGAAGACTCGAGTTGTCACCTGCTCGTATTCACAAGAGTTGGTACTGTCACAGAATTTGTGGGTGGGCCTGGTATGTGTATTGCCGCGGACCTTGTCATTGTTTTCGGCGCATCGCTCGGTATTAACTGTTCTTGTATAGTGCCACCGCTATGTTCGAAACAACTACAACACCAGTTGTCGCAACGCAGCAATAGCATCAGACCAGCAGTCACCCAAAAGACTATCGCAGGCCAAGCGTAGTATGAGCACGCCCCAAAAAGTACGCCACTAGTCATAAGTGTACCGCAGCAGAAAACTGGATTCAAACAGATGATACCGGTCTTGTGGCGTGGAAACAACGATAGCATGGAGCTAAGAAGCATTGTTCCTGAAAAATGGTAAGAAGAGCACACTTATACAAGTATATATTTTAAGAAACTATATATATATAGTCTTTCAAAAATATTTACTTCAATTAAACAAAACTGGGGTTATATTAAGTGCTTATCCTTGCACAAAAATTTATTTCTCAAAACTTTTAAATATGTTATTCGAATCCTATTTCTAACAAAATGTGAATATTTTCAGAGATTATTGCAGTGTATACACGATCTTAGCATCTTCCATTAACGTTTTACAAATGGAAAAATAATCCAAACCACCAAAAAATGTTGAAGACCACTCTGTTTTCTCATCGCCTTTTAAACAGTAGAATGTTAGTTTACAAAGTTGAAGAAAACAACTATTATTTACCTCATCTTATATTGGGAGGTGTCTCGATAGAATTAAGTTAAAACATAACTCTTTAATTTTGAAATATTTAATCTTTACAGGGGTGTCATAGTGAAAACCATCCAAAAGTCGGTGGTCACCGCTCACATCCCTCTGAGGGAGTCATGAGAGGAGAGGACTCGCTGGAGGTGAGGAACGGGGAGCTTTTTTACGGATGGATGAAATCTTGTGTTGAGGATTGATGGAGAAGTACGCTGTCGGGAACTTTTCACGGTTTTAGGATTCCTGACCACTGCAGTATCTTCCAAGCATTAGTAGATATACTGCTCCGAAGGGCAGCCCTCTTCAGAGTGATGACTATCAACTCCGGAAGTAGTACAACAATATTAGCCTTGAGTTCGCTGACTGTGTGCTCAATACTTCGGATATCGAGACTCTTTATCTCTAGCATATTTATTTAATGATTAGAATGATTTGGGTGCCTGACCACAGCGGAATAGCAGGAAACTGTAAAGTTGATGAGCTTGTTAGGATTCTCAATAACTATGGAAGGGGAACAGGTAGGAGCTTCGTTGGCTTCTTGTGGTTTCCGAGTGGACTGTAGCATCTCAGACAAGACCCCAAGACTAGGAAGATCTTCGCAAGGTTCAACTTTCAATAGTTTTAGGAGCTCTAACTGAAACCTGTACGATTGGGATTCATATGGTATCATCCCAACACTTCCTCCTCGAATGTCTCGCTTTTGCCAGATCAAGGCAAAAACACCTCGGATCTCATACTTTTAGACATCCAGGGGAAATAGCGAAAACATAACATTAAAACCTAAGCAGAGTTGTGGTAGACTTAGAATGTTTTGCCGTTAGCTGATATCCAACTAAAGAAGTTTTTCGTCTAGCTTCTCAAAGTATTGTACATAACAGTTTAAGTGTAATCTCTTCGCCATGCTGAGGGATTAGCCATCTAACCTAACCTAACCTAAGGCTCGTTCACAGCTACATATATGTATATTTAAACACTTACCACAGCCGAAGATTATCTCTCCATGTGGATTCTGCTGCATGCTATTGAAAGCGAATGAAATTGTGCCAAAAATTGCGATGAAAATAATCAACAAAGCAAAACGCCAAGAAAATACCGACGGTACACGCGTGCTTATATCGATTAGGCCCGAAGTTGTAATCTGAAATGCACAAAATAATTCCAAGATAGGTTTTTATTATTTTAGTCGCCTTTATTATACCCTAATTTTCTGCCTATATTCATCGACAATTGCATCAATATCTGTTGAGGTATCCGAGTCACTGATCTCAACTATCTCCGGGTAAATGAAATTCAAAGGCTTCAAAGAAACGAATTACATTGTAATTAATGGCAAAAAAAAAAAATATATATTCCATCAATCGTACCACTGGTTTACTGCTCGACTGCATGGCGGATTCGACATCGGTCGGCTGACGTGTAGGACATGGAGATGTCGGTTCCCCCAGCAAAAGCCATTCTTTTTCTAATTCCTTTTTCGGTTTTTTCTTCGGCACTGGCTTCTTCGCTGTACTTATATTGGCTACGTTGACACCCAATATGCTTCGCTTACTGTTGTTCTTCGCCGCTGCACGCTTGTATGAAGTCGTTGCGGCAGCTGCTGTTGCGAGCCGACTATATGCTAGTGACGAAATCGCAACTAGTGGTAATTATAATTAATTTAAGCAATTCAATATATAAATGAAACAATTATTTACCGGAACGTTGTATATACTTTGGACGGACTGGTATGTACAATAAGTATAGTGCTCTTAAGAAGCCGGCAGCCAAATGGCTGGCCGCCAGCGTGTTGATGAGGTGTTGCATCGGACACGCAAAAGCCAACATAGCACAGAGGCTACCTGCAAAGTACAAATAACAAATTCGTTCAAAAATATTTCTTCAAAAAGACCAATTCAACCAATTGAATTGCCATTAACACCCACCACTTATAAAAATAGCAAATACGGGACTACCGCTTTCGGAACTTTCGTAGCTGACGTGTTTTGAAAGCACTTTCCATTCTGAGGTAGCAAAACGCACTATTAAACCATAGAGTTCTGGAAAGAGTTCCAAGTATGCGGCTGAGGAGGTTAGCATTAGTAGACAAGCAGCGGCTGGCACTAGCTTGCCTAAGGTAATATCGTCTAGAAAGTTGAGGAGTGGATTGGCAATGTATTCGTCAACTGGTCTGAAAGGAAGAAATTCGTGAGGTTCTTTGATATGCATTGTACTTGTATAACTCTTTTAAGTGACAGCTTGCAATTTATATTGGGCACCTGAACTAATTTATTGTTTATTTAATTACCTGACTTTTAATCTTTCATCGAAAAAGGGACTACAGATCTTTATGTCGTGGTACTATTCGCTACCGTGCTTAATGTTTAGCTCTTTTTTATACCGTTTAGGGTAAGGCCACTAAGTTTGTAACACTAAGAAGGTAACGTCAAAGACCCCATAAAAGAAATATATATATAAATGATCAGCATGACGAGCTAAGTTGATTTAGCTATGTCCGCTTTTGAGATATCGATCTGAAATTTCTCCCCAGAAAGCTGCGTTGTCGGAACCGCCGATACCGGTCCACTATAGCTGGCACACAAACTGCTCAATCGAAATCAAGTTCTTTTATGGAACTCTTTGTATTTGTGAAGGTTATAATTGCAATTATTAACTGACCTGTCTTGGTAAATCAAAGCTGATATCGCATTAAGGTAGTTTAAGTTATGTTAGAAGGCGAATACAAAGTGAGCAGACGCTCATGCGAAGTTGATCTCTACACTATAGTAATGAAAAGGAAGGTCCATACTCCTTTCCTTTTTTCGTCTAAGTGTGTCTAAGCATACTATGACAGAAATGTTTAGTTAAGTCAAGTTAACGAAACAGTTAAGTCAAGTTGACTAAACATATTTTAACTAAGGTATAAGAGACGGTTTCTCGACTGCTTTATATTAAACTCTTAGGTAAAGGAATATTCGTATTCTCGACGGCCTGCTATTAGTCAGGTGTCAGCAATTCGTGAGTTGCAGTTAGTCTACCGGATAACTCGTAAATAATTCCTTCTACGATGTGATATTCTAGTCTTTTCTCTTTTTCTTCTATTTCGCATAACTGTCACGTCGTTTTAATATCAAATCAATTAAACAACACTGACACCGTTTGATTTATGTCGCTAAATTAAAACTGAAGGTGTTGGTAGAACTATAAATTTAATTTACTTACTTAAACAGTAAACCACATATTTATAACTTACTTGTAATGAACCAAGGTTGATAGGGATACTATCGTCAAACATAAAATAAGGAGAGTTCTGAAGAATTTTCCAAACCCCTTGAAACGCTCGAGGAATGAATTGGGCAGTGGCAACTCTTTGGGATAAACAAAGGAAAGAAGCGCCGCCGGCGTTAGAAGCTATAAAATCAAAAATATATTATATATAGATTTATGTAAACACGTGCAAGTATATATATGTATATATATAATATATATATATATAGAAAACAAAAAACTTATACGAAATAGTTACATATTTCTAACTATACTTGCAATATCTAATTAAATTGCTCTTCTGCCCCCCTCTACTTTTATAATTAGAATCTCATCTTGAAATTAAACTAATAATAATATGTTAAAATACAAATTAAATTGGTTTCCGCTTAGGCTCACGAATCCACACTTTCTCATATTTCTTAATGCCTTAGGATTCAACTCATTAAACCACAGCACTACTACTCACACAACATGCACAGCGCTGTTGACGATTGTAGAAAGCGCGCTAAGAGATTTGCAAACAGCAAACCACAGAAAATCAGAATAATTACTACAAATGGTCATAAGTCAAAGGGGAACCGAGAACTTGTGGAACAAATTACCTGACCATCAGCGTGCTAAATACGACAAAGTAAACAAAAATATACATACATACAAGCCATATGTAAAGGGTGTTTTTATAGAGATGTGGTTTTCAAGAAGAAATAAAACGCATATAATTTAATGTTATGGCCAAGAATTTAGATTTATTATAAAGATAAGGGTTGGGCAATATGTAAAAATCATTTTGGTCAAGTGACCGCCCCGACTGCCACGAATAAATTCTAACGGAGAGTTCTAACTTTCGACCACTTTTTGTAGAAATTGGGACCGTATGTCAGAAATAACGTGCTAATATTCTCTTCCAAGGCGTCAATCGTCTCGGGCCTAACTGCGTGGACAAGCAACTTCACATAAATCCACAATAATAATCCAGCGGTATTAAATCGCGAGACCCATTCACCCAACGTACGAGGCGCTTGATGGTCGTTCGGCTATAACGGCAAACCAAACTGAGAATAAATCAAGTCCAATTTCGAGAAAAGTATTGGCTTATTGAAAACCACACTCTTATAGGACACCCTTTACATACTAGTATTACATACAGTGCTTAAATACATACAGCACATACTTTTTTCCGTACTCGAACTAGTCCCTCAGTTTTTAAGATATCGATCTGAAATTCTAAACTGTTCTTTTCTCCCAAAAAAGCACTGAATGCTTTGTGCAACTCAATAATCGTGTTCATGGTAAAATAGACTCCCTTTTTCAACATCGCCAGACAAACTTTTCGCGTCATAAGCAAACAATTGCTAAACACCCACTAATTGGCATATGGCGATCAAACTTCACGCAAACAACACAAAAAGGTTGTATTACTCTAGAAAGTAATTTTTATTGATTCAGATTTTTAAACGCCTCAGTCCGAGTCAATTTTGATTTGTATACATAGGTATATTGTATAATGATTTATATTGTGCTTACTTACACTAAGAAATCCGTTTGGCCGAAACAAATATCGTGTCCACTCCACAAAGTCGCCTTTCCAGCAAGTCGCGACTGGCGGACACAAGTTCAGGATAATCATGCCGCACCACATGATGATATGGAAGACTTTCGAGTGCTGTCGCGTTAGAGTAAGGAGAAATAAAAAGAAATTGTAATCAGTTTTAAAGCAAATGTAAAATTGATCCTTTAAGTGTGTTAAAATTTCGAAGAAATGATCTGAGATAAGAACTTATTAGTTTTACTTAGGCTTAAAAAATATTTATATGTCTTCAAACACAAATAAAAAGCAAATTCGACCATTTATTATTATAAAGGTTGTTTTTTTTAAGATTTGGTTTTCGAGAAGAAATAAAACGCCAATTTAATGTTATGGCCAAGAACTTAGCTTTAGTATAAAGATAAGGGTTTGCCATTATGTCTTAAAAGTCTTTCGGGCAACCGACCGTCGCATCTTTCATAAAGAAGAAATGTTCGGGTGTTCTTCGATACTATGCTCCACAGCACCAATAGCGTCTTCGGTGCTAATTATACTTTAAAGTAAGTAGTAAGTTGAATGTAGTGTGAAACCGATTCATGGTGCTAGAATTACCGACTCTGCTGAGCGACTACGTCGACCAATATTGGACGCAACGCGAGATGTGTCGCCCGAACCAAACCACTATTTTGGGTATAAATTTACACAATTTGAAAACGTTGTTCCTGAGTAAGCTTATTTATTATGAAATAGCGAAGCAAATTGAGCACAAATGAAATAGCAGCTGAAATCCACACCTCTAAAAAACACCCTATGTTGATATATTTAACGTCATTTAATATACTTGCTAGAATAATATGTGTATATACATATGAAGTGTGTGTATGTGTATATATTCGTATGTGCAATTCTTCTGGAATATGTACTCACGTCCAGTCCCAGCATAAACATAACTGTAATTATAATGACCACGGCAACACCCAGCACATCCGGCCACGGCTCGTTCGGAGAAGAATTGCGGCCTAAAAGTATGCCATAAATTTGACTTAATAAATTTGATGTTTTAATAATTGCACACAGTGCCACCGAAAAGTAAGCATAACACATTTTCTAATTAAATTTGAATATGCATAAAATTAATACACGACCAGTTCGCTTACCTAAAATCAGAATGTGCGCCATACCGCCCGTCATGGCATCCAAGCAGGTGCTCATGGTACGCGCCAGAGCGACACAGGCACACAGCACCGCCAGCACATCCAACCACGTGGCTAGAAACAGGCAGGTGTAGTCGATTTTGTTGCTGGCCCGAATGTACGGCATTTGGAGGGATTTCAAATGGGACTTGCAGTAAGCTGAACACAAAGAGAGAAAAAACTACGATGAGTTGGAGAGATAGAACGTCAGTCGCTATTAACTTATTAGTAGGGAAGTGAATAGCATACATGTTAATATGTATCTGCAAATCTAATTAAAGTTTTTCGACGGTGGCTAATGATTATATACTGCATTATCACCCACTCACCTGCCATTGCGCTATAGGTGAAGGCGAGGAAATTGGCAAACAGTACAGCCGGTCCACAAGCCTCATTGTAGAACAGCAAATACACAACGACTGTTGAACCAAGAGCCAAACGGCCGGAACTGCCGTCAAAAAGTTTGGTGTCACTGCAAATAGAAAGAGATTAAGTTAATAATTTGTTTTTATAAAGTTTTAATAAAAACTTTGTAGATATGTATATGTGTAGATGGTTGGTGGTTGGTGGGACAGTCTTCTGTTGGGACTTCTTAATCAACTCTTGTTTCAGACTGCCAGATCACTGTAGTGTCTTTCCAGCAGAAGTTGCAGCTATCAACAGATGTACTTCTTTGAAGTACGACTTCCCTTAGAGAGGTATGCATCCTCTCCGATATCCAAGTTGGTATACAGACCTTGAACACGCTAAGAATGAGCTCAAAGCTATTCAAGAAGTACATGATCTCACTAGCAATAGCATGCAGCTACTTCCATATTAAACTTGTCTGAGTGCCAGGCCACAGCGGAAACAATGGAAATTGTAAAGCCGATGAGCTGGTAAGAAAAGGCACCTTACCCAAATTCCTTCAGGATGGAGCTCTTGTGGGGTTGCGAAAGCCTTTTGATCCGTAGTGTTAAAGTTGCAGGGAACATCTAGACACTTTCTCCTCCACTATCCAGCCTTCGCCAGTCTAAGGTTAAAACATCTTGCCATACCTTCTACGAACCCGGCGAATTGGCTGGAATTGATATTAGCCGCCATAATATTGTAAAATTGTGGCTGGCTCTAGGCGTTTTGTCTATATGCGAACGTCTTTTTGATCCATACTAAGGAGTTCTGTGCAACACATCGGACAGGCGTCTCTAGCTGTCCAAGCGAGATTATTTGTGGCCTCACGAGAAATTAGCCAATGTAAATTATCTAACCCAACCTAATATGCATAAAAAATTTATAATACGCATTTTTTTTGAGAGCTTCTGCATTTTGGCTGAATCTTTAAATAGCTATTTTGCAGATAAATAAGGCCGTGAAAAAGAAGTTCGGTGTTGAAATATGGACCTATGAGTTGCTATGATTTTTAATACAAAAAAGTGTATTATTTAATTGCAAATTACAATCCTGTAGTGACCTAAATATGGTTCCTTGTACCTAACCTCGTTTCTCAGTTTGCTCTCAAAATAAACTTTTTTGTTATCTAACCTAATTGGATTTCAGAAATTGGCCACTTACATAGGAGTATACCAGGTGTACCGGTATGAAATTTTTTGAGAACATGAAATACTAATTTTGAATTGGAAAGTAAACAAAAATGTATTCAAAGTATTTCCCATTGTTTTTTACACATTTTCACCAACTTTCTGGCAGTTTGTGGATAACATGCCACTAGAAATGTTCGTCATTTGAAGCAAACCAATCAGACACCCAATTTTCAACTTCTGCGTAGGAATCGAAGTGCTGCTCAGCCAATATGCCCCCGATGAAAACAAATGGTAATCGGAAGCTGCTAAGTCTGGTGAATACGGCGGGTGAGGTAACAGCTCCCAGCCAAGTACTTTGATTGTATCCTGAACCGATTTTGCTTTGTGTGCTGGTGCATTTTCGTGTAACAAAATTACTTTGCCGTATCTTCTGGCCCATTCTGGTCATTCATCGATCAATGTATGGTTCAAGTTGATCATTTGTTGTCTATAGCGATTAATATTAACAGTTTCTCCAGCTTTTAGAAGCTCATGATTTAACACACTTTTCTGATCGAATCGATCTGTTTTTGTACTCGATGTTGATAGTTGTCCCGGATTAACCCAGGATTTTCTCCGTTTATGATTCTTAAAATAAATTCATTTTTCATTGCCAGTGACAATTCGTTGCTAAACTGATGCTTGACGCTGATTAATGCTTTCCGCAAATCATTAATTTTCCGTAAAAAATGTGTAATTTTCAACACAATGAAAAAATATGATGTTATATCAACCAAACTATTTGTATGTTAACGCTCACTCCATACCGGTACACCTGGTATTTACTTGCGAAGAAAAATCTAATTTCACAACCTTACAAAAACTGACACTTAAGAAACAAACAGTGGCGCATACACTACACTCAATTTAATTTTCGCACGAACTACAGTCGTAAACGGATTGAGTCAACAAATTATCACAAAATGTAGTGTTCAAATATAATTTAAATAACGTCATGCGGCCGGATAGTTTATTTAGTTAAAACACTGTTTTACATAATTTCAAAAGTAGGTAGTAGTAAAGTATCTTGGTAAACAAGCTGTAAACCTGTGTTGAATATTACCTCAGTCAAGAGAAGAATAAATATGTAAATGGTAAAACTCAATTTATGGTAGAAGTCTGACGAAAAATATTATTTCCAGCATTTCCCTACAGCTAACGAGTGTGGGCAGTTTATAAATTGCAAATAATTAGAATATGAAATAATTGTATAGATGAAGAGTTAACACAGATTTGTAAAGAGTTTAATAAAGTAAGAGGTAAAAAGTGTGTTGAACGGACTTAAAGTATATATTTAAAAAAATCCTTTATGTAGTTAATCTTAAAACCGTTTGATACCTATATGTCTAGATTGCTCTTTGCAAATCCCATGCTGAGGATAGGAAATCAGTGGAGAATTCGAAAGTTAGTTTTCCTGTGATAATTGCTTCAACGAGTTTTTTATAGCCGATCTTTGTATTAACGTTTTCAGCAAATAATATAAATCCACTCTTATGCAGAGTGAATATACTTTAGAAGACTGTTTTCATGTTGAAAGAAAATACTTTGCTAATGAAATAGATTTGTTGGGGTTAAGTAGACATTTTTGGCAAATTTTCAAAAGAAATATGGATGAATCATATTAGATTCGGAATTAAAACTTATACTATTAAGGAGTTAGAGATAAACCAAATAAATAAAAAAATTACAGATTTTGCTGTTTCTTAAAGTATATATCAGGGAAATATTCTCTGAAAATCTGAAGATAATCCGATAAATGCTTTTCGAGTTATTAGATAATTAGCAAAGGGTTTTCGGGCGCTCCAGAACGTTCGTGTAAAGCTTCAGATGAGTTTTTCTCAAAGCTAGTTTTTTGACCTGGTGACCACAGTAGTTCGCAAACCGCTGGGTAGATTTCAATGAAATTTGTAGAGCTATTTTTTAGAAACAAGAAAAACTAGTGTCTGATCGAAGGATTTTTTTTATTTTAGTTTCGAAAAACAATTTTCTTAGGCCGCCATTTTGTTAATTAAAAACATAAATAATAAGCTTCAATCAGTCACTAGATTATCCAATAATAAAACTAATATTGTTTTGTCCAATTGATTTTAGATGAACCTCCAAGAAACTGGAGATTCTAAAATGATTAACTTTTCAAATTTCAGTCAAGTCAAGCCGAAACTTTAATGATATTATGTTTTTACTTTTACGTTTATCAAACAAAATAATTAAGTGGCAAAAAAATTATTCAAAATTGTAATATACTCATGTCCCTTATTGTTTCTAATCCCATAAAATGTTAGATTAGATCTATCCTTGTATTGGGTGGTTCATGATTAAACTGGTTCATGATTAAACTTTTTACCAACTGGGGGACTGAGCACAAAATATTAGCCTATTATAATAAGTCTACTGATTTCTGTCCGTCCAGTTACCCTAATCCCAATTATGTTGATAAATATTGTAAATAAGTTGCTTCAATGAAATTATGTTCAAAACTGCTGAAATCGACCCCTATATTTGAGTAATTCCTTTCACCCTTAATTGGACAATTATCTAATATTAAATTTCGATTAAACTTCGCCCTACTTCTTTACTTAATAATGGTTAAATTTTTAGTACTTCCGCCTCCTTCAGACAGTGATTAGGCATTGCACTTTAAGCTGCAAATGAAAACTGTCAACACAATAAAGGTAGGACTAAAACTGCCGATCCAACGCTTAAAGTAAGCTTCTAGTAGTTATATACATATACCTGTAATACACATAGATTTATTTCTCAAAAGAAACCTTACAAGGGACCACTAAGTAGTTTGCTCCTTCATTACACTCTTCACGTTGTTAATTTAATCTTATATATGTAGGTGTGTATGTTGTTAGTGGTATTGTTGGGCTTGGTAATTCTGCAGCTCTCACCTTTCATCAGTCAACAATTTTTCACGACATCCTAGCGGATTTCCCTAACAACATAACCTAGAAATCCTAAGTATGCAACAAGCGTTTCCATTACTCCGGTTGCTAATACAAATAGACGACAACCCACATAATGCACAGAAAGCATACACGGGTGTATAGTATATGTATCAGACGGCCATATAGTAATTTTCTTTGTTATTTTGATTAAATAGGATTTTATTATTGTTAAGCTTCATGTGATGCCAGCAAGTGTGAAAGTTAGACGTATTACCAAGCTTTATTCGAGGCTTGAAATATGAATGTTGCGCTCAGATTCAATTCAAAATTTTTAAGATAATAAAACAATTTTTTTTACGTTTTAACAATACAAATATACTTTAGAACTAATAACTATAATATTCATTCTTATTTGGGTCAAACGATATCTTCTTTTAACCTCCATATCCCCATGAGTTGAGCCGGTTCATACCGTCCCCCAACATTATTATAATGGCTGTACTCTTTTTTTTATAGGATATTGCATTTTTAGTTAATGTTTGACAAACACTTTCCTTATTTGTCAGTCAATAGATTTAACTATCGACGAACGCCAGCAGTTGTACATTCTTATGGAAGACTGTACCTTCTCTATTTAGCTCTGCAGCACGTATTATTTTCTCCAGCAACGGATTGAAGAAGTGACATGATAGGAAATATCCCTGTTTGAAACCTTGCTTAGTATCGAACAGATCGGAGAGGTCCTTTCCGATCCTTCTCGATGAAGCTGTAAGTGTTGCTTAACGTCAGTATACACAGCCATATTAGTTTTACGCCAAATTCTGACATAGCGGCATAGAGGCAGCTCCTTTTCGTGCTGTCGAAGGCGGCTTTAAAATCGACAAAGAGCATGGTGAATATCTCAGCAGTGGTAAATTTTCCGGTTCTAAAGCAATGCTGAAAAGGTCCAGTCAGTGTTTGTCGACGGTGGGAATGTCTTTCACACAACACGCTCGATAATGCCTTATATATCCTATATCTTGAGGAGTCTGCTCCCACGGTAATTGGCGCAGATTGGAGGGCCTTTGTGAGTTGGCCGGAGTACACCGACATAGGTTCCAATTTTCGGGAATACGTTCATCCGACTATATCCTGCAAAGAAGAGCATGCATGCACCTTGTCAGTTCATAGTCGCCGTATTTGAATAGGTCGTCCGGCAAACCATCGGCCCCTGCCACCCTGTTATTCTTCAGGCGAGTAACTGCCATTCGAACTTCTTTATAGTCGGGCAAAGGAACATTTATTACATCGTCATCGATAACCTCGTATTACACTTTCACTGCCGTTCAGCAGGTTGGAGAAGTGTTTCCTCAATCGCATTTCTTAGACAGCATTGATTTCTCTTATATTATATACCTCTTATTATGTTTGCACTGGTCGTCATTAAAGCTGTGGTATTTCATCCGAGGCTGTTGTTTTTTTTCATTGGAAGTTCATTCTACGTGGTGAGACCCAAATCCTGTGCACACTTCTCTAGGTGAGTAGTACGAAGTTTTGTACACATTTATAAAATAATAATAATATTATTATAATGAACCGCTGGTTTCAAGACCGACTCGCAGGCGCCCCTCTAGTGAACAGACGCTGCAATTAGACTTCAGCGATCCCTAAAAGCGAATACCATATGTCGGAGTGGCTCCACTGAAGCTTCCTCCATTTCTTCATATTTCATATTTCCTTCCTGTTTTTTTGCACAATTAAGATGCATTGTTTTAAACTAACTTCTTCATTTGTGTTCTTTAATCGTAAATAAAAACTGATATCGGTTCTTTTCATCCAAACCCTTTATGCACTCTGTCTTTCATTGATATTAGGTAAAGTAAAAAGCTCGTTCGGTTTTTTATTGATTTTTCAAAAGATGATAACTTTGTGTACATTTGTCCGATTTAAGTCAAATATGCGCCGTTTTGTTCGTAAACTTGTTGCCAACGAGATGCCAACCTCATTATACCCCTCTCGTAGAAGGCTGCGTCCCTATTGGCAAAAAACTCGGAGAGCTAATTTTCACAGGCCTCTCTTGAGGCCAACTTCTCACCATTAAGCGCGTTCGCCATGGACAGGAAAATATGGTAATCACTTGGCGCCAGGTCCGGACTATAAGGTGGGTGCATTAGGACCTCCCATCCGAGCTCCCGGAGCTTCTGGCGCGTCACCAAAGACGTGTGTGGCCTGGCATTGTTCTGATGGAACACATTTCGGAAGCTGTTGATCATAGATGGCCTCTTCTGGATGAGTGCTGCCTTCAAGCGGTCTAGTTGTTGGCAATAGAGGGCTCAATTGAGCGTTTGGCCATAGGAGCGCAGCTCGTAGTAAATTATTTCTTGCGAATCCCACCAAACACGCAGCAAAACCTTCCTGGCCGTCAATCCGGTCTTGGCCACCGTCTGGACCGCTTCCCCGAGCTTTGACCACGACCGTTTGCGCTCAATATTGTCGTAAGTGACCCATTTTTCATCGCCAATCACAATTCGCTTCAGAAACGGGTCGATTTTGTTGCAATTCAGCAGCGATTCGCAGATGGAAATTCGGTCCATCATGTTTTTTGCGTTAGTTCGTGTGGCACCCAATCATCGAGCTTCTTTTTGAATCCAAGGTTATGCAAATGGTTCCAAACGGTTTTCTGGCTTATCTTTATTTCCTCAGCAATTAAATAAGTACTCACGTGACGGTCTGTTTCCACTATTTCCATGATTTTATCGCAATTTTCGACGACAGGCCTCCCGACGCGTGGTGCATCTTTGACATCGAAATTACCGGAACGGAACCAAGCAAATCACTTTTGTGCTACACGTTCGTTTACAGTATCGGGCCCATAAACTAAATTAATTTTTTCAGCCGCTTTGGCTGCTTTTTCGCCTTGATTGAAGAAAAATTGTAAAATATAGCGAATTTTCTCTTTGCTGGACACTGTCAAGGACAAACTTTTAGCGCGAAAAAACACGTTTTCAGCGCCGTATAGTATGCCATGATGCGAGACGTAACACGAATACTATGGACAATAACGCCATCTCTTAAATAAAAACCGAACGAACTTTTTACTTGAGCTAATATTATTAATATAGAGTGGATTTATAACTTTTGTAGTTGCATAGCGCTACGCTTTGCAAACACAAAACATTTATTAACTAATGAAATTCGCTTATTACTCGGCACAATATCTTTGATATTCCTGGCATAACATAAATTGTCTACCGATAGTTTACCAATACACCTAATTCTGTTTTTACAGGTTTTGATTTAGAACGATTTGAAAATCAAAAAAAGTTTTAGTTTTTTACACGATTTAATTCCATTTTTGGGTTTCCTTTTTTTTTGTTAGACCGAATTTTTGCGAAATATGTTCATATCAAAAATTTAGAGGAATTCCTCTTTTGTGGATACAAGCAAGTTTACTGGACAGAGTAATTGTAAATACCACAAATTTAGGGGAACGATCAATGTCGTTTTCTACACGGTTTTTGTTTTGCTTTTTTTTTCTGGAACCAATCTACCGTGTAAAAACAGAATTCGGTGTATAGTACCGCTGAGGCAGACATAATAATGGGCCGCAATAGAACGCGTAGAAATTTAATTATTTGCTAACTTAACACTATGAATGTGTATTAGTGTATTAAAAGCTTAACATACATACTCAAGTTATATCGATAACACTCGATTATGCATTGTTGTGCTAAGTTAGCTTACAAAGGCACATATGCACAGTATTGTGTAAAATATTTGCATTGATCATCATTTCCCATAATGAAATAAGAAGAATTCAAAAGAAGTAAGAAATAATACTAACTTCGGGTGTAACCGAACATTTCATATTCTCGCAACTTGCAAGGATCAAAGCCGAGAAATACCTTCGGTTGTTGACAAAATTTTATTATATTGTACTTATATTATAGGTCACTACTAACTAAGTAAGTCTATAGTTTCATAACTACATAGATTTGGCTTCCCGTCAATGAAAATTATATTTATATCATCATCAAATCAGAAATATGTGACATAAACTCAATTGAAGAGACTAAAATTAATGTATTGAGTTGATATGCAAAACGTCAACCAGAAGATCAGAATTGATTATGTGAGTATTAGAGATATGAAGTTTAGACCAAGATACTCAAGAACATATTTTCAAGCAATTGTATAAATAAATAACACACTGAACGACATACTCGTCACAAGGTTTGTTAGTTTTTTAGGTTCTAACAGTGGTTCCGTTGGGGTAATTCGTGGACGAATTTCAGATATTTTCGACACTAAACTGTAGTAATATTATTCGCTCAGTTAATTTTGCTAAGATATATACGTACTGTATGTGTAGTTGTATGTATATGTTATATGTATATAAAGCCCACCGGATGTTTGATCTTATATAAGGTATATGAAAGATAGGGATAGTGTAGTATGAACTGGCTTAGCTCACATATCATCACCAATTCATATGTCATAAAAGGAGTAGAGTCAATCGGTTGTTAGAAAATTATGATATTAATTATATAGAAGCCAGGGTAAATTTTCCCCCGATTTTATACATTTCAGGCACAAAGATATCTGCTATTAAAAAAACACGCTCTCTCAATTTTATTAAGATAACTCAAATATTGACCCTTATAATATATGCGTGTAAAGTCAGCCGGAATTTCGAAAGTCATTATAATAGGTATATGAGGGCTAAGGGTAGTATTGACCCGATTCAACGTATAATTGACATACAGGCATATCATTATCAGGAAAGAATTCCCTCCGAATTTTAATAATATATCTCATAGATTGACTGACATTTTTGATAAAAAGTTCGCAATGGGAACTGGGGTCCACATATTCGGCATCTGTGGGCTTGAACAGTTGTAGTCCAATTATGACAATTTTTGATCACACCTTAAAGGCCTTATTTGGGCAAAGTTTTATCTTGATAAAATCAGCGGTGCTTAATTTGTATATTGGAAAGTAAAACAATCAAATGGAATGTAAAATTGTGTTAAATGGGAAGTAGGCGTGGTTGTAGTCCGATCTCTTTCATTGTAACATAGGAATCTCAGATTAATGTTGTATAACGAATTTGGTTAAATTTGGTCGAGTAGGTGCCGATATATGCTTGTGGTTTGCTCACTACTGCAGATATATGTAAGTTGTTGGCGGTCAAAATTAAAAATCAATTTATCGATTAGTTTAATGCAAATGCTAATTGTAGGCATGAAAATACCGAAATACAAGTGACAGCAAAATGCTAATTACGTCAAATCACCATTCCCTGAGAGTACAACAAGATAATAGCCTCGGACTGGTCGCCAAAGTGGTATGAAAATTGCATAGCTTTGCATAAATTTGTTGAAGAACCACAAGTGGCACGCCAGGATTGCTTACTTGATGCGCTTTTAAAGAAGAATCAAGAAGATTATGGTGGCAATCATCATGAAAAAAGATGGTTCAAGCACCATATCCATAATTTATGTACATAAGAGAGTAGTAGCACTTGCCTGTCGCACTTTTGTGGCGCAAACTTAACTAAATCTACACTCACCCCATGTTTTTGCAAATGCGTGTGTATGTATGTTGTTGTAAGATAAATTATTTGCTTTTTGTTGCGGCCTCTATGCTGTCGTTTTTTTCAGTAGAAAAGCTCCTGATGCCCGCTTTGGCTTTTAATGGCACGCGGCCAAATATTAGAAATTGCCGTGATTATGCGCACATTCAAAATTAAATATATTCCCTTCAATATTTTCACGCGTTTTCAATGCCAACAATCTTGTAGTATGTTTTTATTCGTTATATTAATATTATTTGTATATTCATAAATTTGTTTAATTAATTTTGTATAAAATTCACACAATTAAATATTTAACACAATGTGCTTTAATAAATTCACTATTCACTTCACCCTTCCGAAAATGCTGAGTATAAGCAATCAGCTGCGCTAACTTGGCTAATTTATATAAATTTTCTCTTTCATAATTTTAGCCACTCGTAAAAGGCAATTAACGAGTTGATTATTTGTATATGTTTTTTCTTATTTTTGCGATTTTTTCATATATAATATTCGATTTGCTATTTTCACTACAATCCACGCCCCTCTCTTACTCCGCATTTGCTCTTCCGCTCTTCGCGAGCCACAACTATTGCACTGAAAAATCGCCGTTCTGCATTGCGACCGTGAAACTGCGACGTTTCCACACGAAGCTCATAAAACGAACTGAATTTGCCGGGACCGCATATTGTTGAACGAAATTGCAGTTTTCTCTCTATATTCCTACGATTCCCGTTTAGTAATATTTGTGGAAAATTCTCATTTTCCAATTTCATTGTAAACACAACATTCAACAATGAGGCGTATGTATGTGTATTTACTTATTTCTCTTTACGAATGCTTCGAAACTTGCGCACTCTCTCGTTTTTCTCTCATGACGTTTAGCCATTTCTAAAAAATTGTTTTACCCTATATTTTTTACTCGGCGATGAAAACATACATAACAAACTAAAGTTCTCTTAATCTCCCAACCCATATCCCCTCCACACAAATTGGTGGCACCACGAAATACTCGCGGCACATATTTTTCTTGCACGAATTGGTATAACTTTTGGCAATTACAAGCCCTACAGTGTACGAAGAAAAAATACAAGAAATATGCAGAAATAAATTAACGATCGATTCTCTGCCTGTCCTTTGGTATATATATTCCCTACCACACAAAGAAGTTTTATATTGTATATTAGAGAAATCGCCACATTACCACGCCCACAAAAAAACATTATTCGAAAAATTGATGATGCTATAACTTCGTTAAAAGATGTTATTGAATTTGTGCTTTCATGATGTCAGAGAGCTGTCCTTTAATAGGTCTAAGTCATATATCTTCTAAATTGCCAGGACCACAATTAGCTGACAATGGCTCATATCTTCACTGAGAACCATATTTTTTCAGGTCATTATAATAAAAAAATTTTTAATTGATATCGAAAATTCTTCTCTGTTTGAGGCATATACATGCGAGTTATCTTAAAATCTATATAAATAATAATTTAAAATTATATGTAAAATCCAATCAGCAGTTTTGTGCAACACTGTACTTATGGTATACCTATAGGCAGTTTACACTCGTGCCACCACAAATTTGGGGAGGGATTCTCCTCTCTTTTATTTGCTTTTACATTCTATAAATGGCATAATGAAGAGTTTTTCTGTTTATTCACCTTTTCAGTTTGCGGCATTTTTTTCGTACGGCATTCTCATCAAAGTTCACTTCTCTTACCAATTCCCTTTCACTACAATTAAGTCTTTTGTATGGTATGTGTGTGTATTTGTTTACATTAATGGTTTTAAACACTTGACAGGATCTTTATGTCGTTTGAAACGATGTTCGTTACATCTGAAAGGAAACGTCGGAGACCTTATAAAGTATATACATACATATTGCATAAATGATCAGCATGACAAGCTAAGTCGATTTAGCCATGCCCGTCTGTAAGAACGCGAAGTATTTGAGGTATCGATTTGAAATTTTGCAGACATTCGTTTCTTCCCAAGAAGCTGCTCATTTGTTGGAACCGCCGATATCGGATAACTATAGCATATAGCTGCCATACAAACTGAATGATCAAATACATGTCTCGTATGCAAACATTTTTTATTTGACGAGATATCTTCACAAAATTTGACACAGATTATGATTCAAAGCATTTACAAAGCTACATTTCCAGAAGAAACAGTTCAATTCGGACCGATACAGTATATAGCTGCCATTCCAACTGACCGATCAAAATCAAGATAAAGATCTTTTAATACCATTTTATGGTATTAAAAAGCTATGAAGGACAATACAGCTTCGGTGCAGCCGAAGTAAACGTTTTTAATGAAATTGAAGGTATTTCATTTTTATACTCTCGAAACATCTTGTTACAGAGTATAATAGTTTTGTTCATCTAACGGTTGTTTGTATCACCTAAAACTAATTGAAATAGATATAGAGCTAACGAGTAGAAATCCGGGTGACTGTCTGCCTGTCCATGTATGTGATAACTTTAGTAAAAATTAAGATATCTTGATGAAACTTGATACATACATATGCTATGTTTCTTGGCCCTCACGATAGGTTGTTATTGAAGTAAAACCTATGAAGTGCCATAACTAAGCACTATCAGTTTGTCGTAACAAGGGACACCTACTGGCTAAAATTTCTTTGAAAGTGGGCGTGGCCCCGCCCCCAAACGGTTTTATGTACATATCTTTCAAACCGCTAAAGCAAAAATTACCAAGTTTGCTGAGAGTAAGTTTTTTAGCACCTCTTCTATACTGTAAAAATGGGTAAAATCAGATTATAACCACGCCCACTTCCCTTAAACGGTTCTGTTGAAAACTACTAAAAGTACGATAACTTACTGAATACATGCGCCACAAGCCTAAAATTTCACAACCAAGATGGTAGGGAAGGGCTTTATAGAAGCCGGTGTAGAAATTGGACAGTGGGCATGGCACCGCCCACCTTTAGGTGAAATCTTATACCTCAGGAACTACTTGACCAATTTCAACCAAATTTCCCCTATAACATACTTTTCCATCTTAATTTTTATCTTTACCATATACAAATCAAACATCAATGAAGTTATCAGAGTAAAACTTTACACAAATAGTGCCTTTAAGGTGTTTATTCTTAAGCATGTTCTTGTGTTCAGAAATGGGTAAAATCTAAAATTGAGATTTTAAATTAATACGTGATAGTAAAAAAAAATTTGCGAACTTCTCACTTGTTGTTGTACCATATAAATTAAATAAATAAATTTTTCTATTTGGTCGTATGAATTTATGTCAACTATACCTAGAAAATTTTTTAGTTACACCGCTTTTATTCGAAGAACAAATAAAACGAAATATGAAGTCGTTGTGAAGTAGGAAATTTCGTCGAACTCGAAAACGCTGAATAAATCATAGCGGTTGCTTATATTCGTGCATGCTTAGAGCACTTGCCTGCTTTGCGGACTAACGTATTCAACCCACTAGCCTTGAGCAATACCGCATTTTTTATAGCAAAACATTGACCTCAAAGCTAAAACATGTAAAAGCTTTTGTATATTTACCGAAGTGACCAAACCTGTGGGCTATATTATCTTATAAAAGCTCTGCAGTCTTATTTTTCCAAAAAAATGTTTTCGCAAACACATGAAATCTTCAATATTAAATATATCGAAGATAGCCAAAAAAACGAAAGGAACGGCTCAAACCACAACAAACACGCATATAACGTGTCCATAATAAGAGGAAATGGAAATTTTCTACAAAATATAACCCGTTTTCCTGAGACAAGTGACTACAGCGCGTTAAAAACATAAAAATTTAGAATATAAAAACAAACACTTAAACGAAATACGCAGAAAGTGTGCATTTTTTCTTCAAAACAAAAAAGAGAAACCAAATTTAAACAATTTGAGTAAATAAATAATTATTATATAACTTTGTTATGAAGTCGCATTTGCTCAGCTTTCACTAGTAATTTGCTATTCACAGATCCAGTGTGATCACCATCAAAGTTCATTTATGTATCAGAAATTACATTTGAACAAAGTATGAACTATGTCATACAAGTATATTGAACTAAGCTTTTTTGAATTCCAATAGGTTGTTGTAAAAGCAACAGCAAAGTTAAGGAAATAGACTTCGACCAAATATTGCACATATATGTTATAACAGCTTTGTCGCAAAGGGTAAGGAATATGAATATGAGCACCTCCGTCTTTCCGGCTCGCGTTTTACTGGAAATATCCGTGAGTGAGGCAGATTTCTCATTACAGTTATGTATGAGTATAGAGTATGTACTTGACCCTTCTTTACTTGCTAATTATTTTACATTTATAGCTCAACGTCGGTATTTTAATGAGATCGATATGAAATATTACATTCGTCTTTTTTTATCCAAGAAGCTAATCATTTGTCGGAACCCCTGATATCGGCAGCTATAGCATATAGCTGTCATACAAACTAAACTGTCAAAATCATGTTCTTGTATTGAAAACGTTTTCATTTGACGAGATATCGTCATGAAACTTGGCATGAATTATGGAAAAAGGTAACGGTATAATCTTCGAAGAAATTGTGCAGATCGTACCAATATAACATGTAGCTGCCATACAATCTGTTCAATCTAAATATAGCTCTTGTATGGAAAACTTTTTTAGTTGACGAGATATCTACATGAAATTCGGGATACCTTATTTTCCATAGCAATGGTACAATCTCCTAAGAAATTATTCAGTTCGGACCATTATAACTATAGCTGCCATACAAACTGACCCATCAAAATCAAGTTATTTTAAGAAATCTTTTGTATTTGTGAAGGGTATAAAAACCGAAATTAACGTTTTTTCTGGTTCTGCTTAAAAACGTGTCGATATTTTTATTTCTGCGAAGTAACAAATTTAATAAAATTATATAATAATTAACCCGGCGAATAATTTTGCCATTTGTAGCCTCTCTAAGCAACGCCATACCGGCCCAATTATGGATTACAAAGTTCAACAGTAATGCGACAAATTATATAATATACATTTATACATATATGTATTGTACATACATATGTTTGCATACATGTATGTATATATGTACATATATGTTTGTATGTGAGTATATATCATAAGTGACATCGACTCTGGTTGCAATACATCACTGAACTGCAAACGGAAGATCAAGAGGTCAACTTTCGCAACAAGCCGCATATTTGTAACAATGCATGCCTACATGCATACAAATATGTTTATAAATTAGCAATATGACCCTTGGCTCCTAACACACGCTTACACATTTTGAAATCACTGCCTTTATTTAAATTAACGTTTAAAGACTGTGTAAAACTTTTTTACGAAAGATTGAATTTGGTATACAAATTCATGCGCAGTTCTGTAGAATATTCATAAATTCTTGAAAATTTTAGCACCCGTATTTATAGATCTCTTATTTACACTGTTGTATAATTTACAAACAAGAATGTTGACACTTGTAAGGTTAGCGTAGCATACCATAGAAGCCACAAGATTACTGACCGTATACTAAATGTCTAACAATTGTTTAAGGTGTGGTGTTTGTTATTGAGTATTCTGAAATCTTCATAAAGAGAATTACGAATAATTTATGTACATATGTATTAAATATTGTGTAAAAACAATATTGTTGGTTGTTTTGGAGTGAAGGTAGGTAAGATAAATGACAAACGTGGTACAACAAAAGCCTGGCTTATTTCATTACAACAAGATATCAAAGTAAATCTGCGACTAAAGTCATGGTAACACAACTTCAAACTTGTAACTTGCATGTAGCACCCAACACTAATCGAGTTAGATATATGTATGTAGATACTAGAACCAAATCTGGTACATTAATGCCTTTTGATAACCATAAA